GCCACCCTGTACTGGTATAAAATATGGTGAATCTAATTTTGGTATGCTTAAAATCTGAACTGTTAATTAGACTTGTAAGACTTTGAATTGCTTTTCTTTGAACAAAGTGGAGACAGATAAGATGTAAAATCAGAATTGTGATGAAGAACTGATAATTGTGAATAGAAGAAGTAAATATTGGTTCTTTAAAGAGTTCATTTGTTCAGTTGTGCCTCATTTTAATAAATTGTTTTCTGCCGATAAATTGAAATCAAAGGAAAACAAAGTGACTCTGGATTTTGATGAACGTGCCTTTGAGGCTCTTCTTGCCTGGATCCATACAGAATTATTCATCATTAAAATGGATTATGTGATTAATTTTTATGACGCAGCTGATTTGATGACCAGAGAGCGTTTGTTTAAACCTTGTTTTGAGTATTTCCATAAAAATTTCACCATAAAATATCTTCCAGTTGTCTTAACTCAAGTTAAAAAATCTTCCAAATTGATCAATTCAGGAGCTATTAACAGTTTTATTTGTCGCCACTTTTTGAAGATCGCTAACACGAATGTTTTCTTGGATTATCCAGTTGAAACAGTTGAACATATTTTTAAATTAGATTTGATGATTTACTCAGAATATCAAGTTTTTGAATCAATCATGAAATGGGTGAATAAAAATGAAGATTCAAGAAAAGAAGTACTGCCAAAGCTTTTGACATTCGTGCGTTGGTCTTTCATGGATCCTGGTGAATTATCAAAGGTTAAGGATAATGAATTAATAAAGACTCTAAGAGATTTTGATTCAATTATTTCCTCTAATGGTGACTGTGAATCTAATCGTACTAAACAAAACTACTTCGCCTCAATCCAGGAATTAGATGATCCTCCAAAGTTACGGATAAATATATTTGATAAAGATTTATTTTGTTTACCAATTGGAGATTTTACCGAAGATAAAACAATGTCAACTGAATTTGTTCATGGAGAACACATGTCAGATATATTATTTAAAACTGGAAGGGATGTTTATCGAGTTGACTGGGCCAAAAAGACATTTACATGGTTTGACACACATATTGCCTATTATCCGGTAATTAATAATGCGATTGTGAATTTTCAGGATAATCGTAGGTATGTTTATTTTATAAAATTTGAATCGTATTTCTGCTTGATAACTCATGTCAATTTCAAAATTTTGCTTAAATTTTCAAATCCTGTAAGTTTTTCCTTTGTTACTTGAATAGCTTTTAGAGATTTATTTTTTTGTTTGTTCAAAGCTCCAAAATTCATCAAGTTTGCAAATATTTTGAGACATCATTCCACTGACTGAACTTGAATGTTTAAAATGAAGACTAAAAAGCTTAGGATTAACTTTGGTTTGACTTACTCTAAACTTCAGAGTTGCATCCATTTCAAATTTCCATTGAGTGGCTAGTAGTTAGTTTTATGATCAAAATGGTCGCATAACTTGAATCTTAAATCATTTCTGATCAGTTTATTATGCAAGAAAGTGTTATTTCAATGTTAAAATTATAATCGTCAATCACAATGTATCAACTGTCAATGGAAAAGTCTCAAATTAAATTACAGACGTAAATCTTAATCTTGATCTTATCTTAATTTCTCACCGAATTGAGTAAGTCAGCGGATTCAGCTCTAATCTATTTCTCGAGCTCAAATTTTTCTATTATTTTCTATTGTATTCTTTCTTTACTTTATTTTTATAAAGAATTTTCCTTTAGTAAATTACATAAATGATTTGTATTATTTAGTTGGAATCATCTTTAATTTTACTTTGGTTCTATTTTTCAGTCAATATTCCTGCTATTTGGATGCTGAAGCTACTCCACTTGGTGATGAAATTCCCCGTAACTCATATTTATTGCTTGAATATAATGATGGATTTATCTACATCGGAGAAACTGAAGGAGAAAGGAAATATTTTGGTATTTTCCCAGCGACTAATTCGAGATGGTTCGATGGCTATGGAAGGGGTTGCGATCATGAATTCCATGCGACTATTTTGGACAAAGATGTTTATGTATTCACTTCCCGCTCAGATTTTTTCTCATTTAATATGGAAACCCGTTCATACAATAAGATTGAACTATTTAAAGGTGCGAAAGATCTGCGCTTACATGAATTAATCTTAACGTCTCTTCATAAAGAAGATGATAAAATAATTCTGATCGATAAACAGCGCGAAAAGTTTCATGTTTATTGCGTTAAACAGAAGAAATGGTTCAAAAAGTCTGAACTCGTCAATTTAAATCGCATAGAAGAAGGTTCAAATGAAGATACTTATGAATTAACTGCGTTCACCTCAACTTTTTTATCGATGAAAAATATAAAACCATTGTTCATGCGAAACTTTTTGTAACTCTTCCAGCTTTTTAACAGTACAATATAATCAACAGTGAACGTTGATTTCCGTTATATTCAATATTTATGCAAATTACAAAGTGTACTTTAGCATTGAATCCTTTTATATACAAAAATCCAACCTTTTGCACCAATTAAGTCATTCACCGTTCTCTTGATATGCTTTGGCATTGCACAGAGTCAAGTTCAGTTTCATTTATTTTTCGTATATTTATTGAATATATTTGAAACAATAATTTCATTCTATTCAGCAGTAGATATTTACTAATTAGTAGATATAACATTGTATTTATAATGCATCTTTCATTTGCTCAACAAATCACAAATCTTTGTTTGAATAAAAATTTACTGACAAACTTTACTGGCCACAGCTTATTTGAATCTGCATGAACCAGGGACACCGGTTATTAAGAGTTATTCAAACAACTGCCACAAGCAGTTATGAGGTTTAAAGCACGAGGGCGTAGCCCGAGTGAATTTTATCTCACTCGAAGTTACATGATGAAACAATCTCGGGCTTCGCCCTCGATAGTAAATCATATAACATATCGTTGCGTTCTCGTTCTCGTTCTCATCAACTATTCATGCAAACTAGCTCATAAAATTAAAGCAATGTTAAATGAGTTTTAAAATGAAGTGAGAGCTTTATGTAGTATATTTTTTACCATCAATCACTTTCAATTTTAACTGTATGCTTCAGCTTCTTTGTAAATAAAACATGAGTTTATACTGGAGACTTTTAGATTCTTAAAAAATTGTTTTATTTTTTCCCAATTTTCTATGTGCTTTAACCTCAACGAGACTAACATGAATGAAGAGAACCAAGATTGCGATGTTGTGAGGAAAAATGAATATTATGTCTCCAAAAAGTTCATTTGTTCATCTGTGCCGTACTTTGAGAAAATGTTTTGTGGTGATTTGTTGGAATCAACGGAAAACAAAGTGGAGCTGGATTTTGATGAACATGTCTTCGATTCTATCCTCAATTGGATTCATACTGGATCGTTCTTAGTGCAAATGGAGGATGTAATTGATCTTTACGAAGCAGCTGGTTATTTGACGATCGATGAACGTTTGTTTGAACCGTGTCTTCATGTTCCTCATGACTGAGGATTTCATTCAATTCAATTACGGAATTCGAGACTTCAATAAGAGCTGAGCTTTCAAATGCAAAGATTTGTATTTTAATAGTTTAATCTTAACTTCTCTTCAAGCATAGAACAAAGGCAAAGAGGCTACAAGGGGTGTCATTAAAGTTGATTAATTGTTTGAATTGTTTAATTCGGGGTTTCCCTTCTAGTTACTCTAGATGGCAGCAAAACAAAGAAGCAAAAAACTCGAGGGAAAAGTGTAAGTTCTTTACAGCAATAGCACGAGCAAATGAAAACCATACTAATTTGGCATATTTCCCAGTAAGATGTTACTTTCTACAAAGAATAACGATAGTGACACAGCTAAAATTCAGATTGGCTACTACGAAAAACATAAAACAATCTCATAAAAAATTGAAAAAATTTGAAAAAACCGCTAAAACTTGTAAGCCCATCCTTATGAAAAACAAGTGTGAGATGGGTATAAATACAATTGTCTATCTTATGATCGATCATTTTAAAACGCCAACTTTTGCTTACTAAGCTGAAACGTTTCTTAAATGGAAGTTTGTGCTTTCATCTTTCAAATATTTTGAGTCTCCCAGCGTACTTAGTTTAATGTTATTTTCGTCGACAATACCTTTAAAAATTTGTTAATTTTGTGAGTTTTTGTTTCACCTGAACGGAACTAAAATGAAAAAAAAAGATGGGAATTGTGATGATAAATTGAAAATTATGAATAGAAACCGTGAATATTATGTTTCTAAAAAGTTCATTTGTTCAGTTGTGCCTTACTTTGAGAAAATGTTTTGCAGTGATTTGTTGGAATCAAAGGAAAACAAAGTGGAGCTGGATTTTGATGAACATGTCTTTGATTCTATCCTTAGTTGGATTCACACAGAATTATTCATCATGCAAATGGATCATGTGATCCGCTTTTTTGACGCAGCTGATTATTTGATGATCAATGAACGTCTTCATGAACCCTGTTTGTCATATTTCCATGCAAACTTCACCATTGAATATCTTCCAACTGTTTTATCTCAAGTTACAAAAGTTTCAAAGTTGATTGATTCAGGATCAATTGAAAACTTCATCTGTCGCCACTTCTTGAAAATCGCTAACACGAATGTTTTCTTGGATTACCCAGTTGAGACAATTGAAGCTATTCTAAAATTAGATTTGGTTGTTGACTCTGAATATCGAATTTTCGAATCAATCATGAAATGGATAAATAAGAAAGCAGATTTTAGAAAACGATTACTTCCACAGCTATTGAAATGTATTCGTTGGTCTTTCATGGATCCTAAAGATTTACTTAAATTAAAGAATAACGAATTAATCAAGTCTTTGAATAATATCGACTCAATTATCTCGTCTTGTGTTAAATCTGATATTAATCGTAGTAAACAAAACTTCTTCATTTCTATTCATCGGATAGATGATTCAAGATTAAGAATAAATGTTTTTGATAGTGAATTATTTTGTTTACCGATTGGTGATTTCACCCTAGATGATAAAATGTCACTTGATTTCGTTCACGGAGAACACATTTCAGATATTTTATTTGATTCTGGAAGAGAAGGAATTCGAATTGATTGGTCCAAAAAGACATTTCGATGGCTCGACTTCAAAGTTGCTGGTAAAAATTATTATAATCAGATTAATGAGTCGATTGTGAAGTTTTCAGCTGATCTTAGGTACGTAAAGTATTTAAATCATGTCTATTCTGTATACGAGGTGTTCAAACGGGTAGGTTAAACTTTGTGGCTTTATATCGCGAGAAATAGGCGCCAGATTGCGGTCGTTTTAATTTTATATTAATTTTATTTATCAGGAATTTGAAGTCTAAAAGACAGGGTATTCAGGAGCGACACAAAAACGCTTACCCAGCTCGAAAAAGCAGTTTATAATGGGACAAAAATGATATAAAATCCTGATAGAATCCATTTATATACAAATTTTCAGATCAATAAACAAATCCGTTCTAAAGATATAGCCGTTTACTTTTTGACCTACCCGTTTGACCTTGTAGATTGACTTAGTGAATTGGTTTGTTTACTATATTAAACGTAAATGAAATCTTGTTAAGTTACTGATAATTGATAAATTTTGGAAATTCAACTCAAAAGTACTATCTTAAATATGAATCCAAATTCAGTTAGTTCAATTTTTAATATTCAATAAATCACAATCTCTAATCGTTAATTGCTAATTTCAATGTAGCGATTAGTTTGCATTCAATAAGAAAATTACTTTTCTAAATTTTAAATTAAATCTTCATTCTTTAGGTTTCATGACCGTTATTTAGAAGACAAAAATACAAAATTGCCTTCATCAATTTCCTGGGATGAGATCGTGTTTCTTGAAGCTAATGCTAACAATAATTTCATACTGATTGGTAAAACTAAAGACGAGAAGAAGTGGTTTGGTCTTTTCCCAGTTATACATGAAAGTTGGTTCAATAATTTTAAAAATTATGGGCACTCTTTTCAAGCCACTGTTTTGGACGATGTTGTTTATATATTGACAAAGGATCAGGAATTTATCCAGTTTAATTATGAAACTAAATGCTTCAATAAGAGTGAACCATTCAAAGACGAAAAATTAGATTTCAATGATTTAATCTTGACTTCTCAACAAACAGGAGATGATAAAGTAATTCTGGTTAATAAAACGTCAAGAAAAATTTCCTTTTTCTGTGTTAATCAGAAGAAATGGATTGAGAAATATCGAATTATGAATGTAAATACATGTCCTGAAAGCTCTTCTGTTAACAGATTAATCGCATTCACTTCAACATTTCTATCCTTGAAAAATATAAATCCTCTGTATAATCAGAACTTTTCTTAACTTTGCACCTTGTTTGTTTCGTTTTTGTTAAGCAATAATGAACGGTTGAATAATCAGACAAGGTCTGATTGCTTTCTGATAACTTGAAACTATTAACTATTAAATTTGAGACTAATATATAGTCATTTATGTTAATTCATGCATTTAATTTAAATCATCAGACAGTGTATTGACATCCTCGCTTAATTCAATCGAACTCTATCATTAAAATGCATCCACAAGTACCGCAACCTACGTATCTCATGTTTTTGCCACTCACAAGATGATATGAAAATGAAAATATTTTTTATTAAATATTTCAGAGTATTTGAATAAACTAAACATTAGAGACTATTGCCTTACAGCATTTCTCGATGACTTTAGACAAGTTCCCATAATGTTTAGTCGGCTTCTCAAAATGTATCTGCTTGCGTTTCTAGTGATCGTGATCTAGTTTAGATAGTTAGTCATAATACTGACCATAAAAACCCCCGAAGCTAGTCGAGAAAGCACTGGCTGGTAAATGGTTAGTCAAGTAGCATCAACGCGACTAGAGTCGACTTGGTCAGTGCGTTGAAGTCGACTAACAAGTAAGTTGCAAGAAATTGAATGAGATTTCGGTGGTTTTGGCCAATCACTGCATTTAATGCCTTCTTACACTATTGTATTACCGTAATTTTTGTTAACAAAACTTTAAAAACTTTCTGGTGCTATTCATAATTGACTGATTTCTGCATCATTTAGGTTAACCGTTGAGACTAGTCGTTACAATAAAATTATTGATGATCATCGACCAAAAATTGTGAATGCCATATCAAACGGTTTGAAAACTCTTTTTGTCATGGCATCCACAATTTTTGGTCGATGATCATCAATAATTTTATTAATAGTAACCTCTGTTGGTCCTATTTTTGGACATTTTATTAGGTCATACAAAACAAAATGATCGGCTTCGTAATATTTTGATTTTCTTTATTTATGAGTCGATTTAAATGAAATTTCGTACACTAATTATTTATATGTTCACCATGGACAATCCGTTGCTATCTCTTACACGACTTTTAGACTACATTCACGCGATTCAGAGGCGCTACCACTGCCTCTGAATCGACCGTGAGGTTGAATCGACCAACAATTTTATAAACTTCAAGTGTACAAAACCAGCGCTACATTTCGAAAATACAATAAAAATCACGATTTCGACCATTTAGGGCTTCGAAATTCGATTGTTCATAATTTGTTCAAAGTCGATCGTGATCAGCCGGAATTTAATGATATGGTTAGATAGAGTCAAAAATAAACTTACTCCAACTCTGATTGCTTCTGAAGCCGACTAAACATTATAGGAACTTGTCTAAAGTCATCGAGAAATGCTGTAATGTGTACTCATAATTGTGTACTCAACGGCCAAGTCGACTAGCTTCTGAATCTAGAAAAAATTCATAATTTGGGCTCCAATGAATTATTCTCGGCAAAGCAAAATGATAATTGTTTTGTAAAACTTATACAAAGGGTCTAATATCATAGGGAAGTATTGCCAAAAATATCTCAACACAAAATACATTATATTAACAATAATAACATGCATGTAAAACATTAAATTATTAATATTTGAGTTTGCAGTTGAATGAATAGAGAATCATGCACTTTAATAGATAGGCAAGCATATATTATTAATTAAAAGATAAGATTCGAGGGTCAAGTCTAAAGGTCTAAGGTTTTATCTGTAAATTTCGACCCTTCTTAATGTTTGCTGGTGGGTTTAGTACCCTTTGTTTGCTCCACTTGAGAAGGATCGTCAAAATGACTCTTCACGCTGAAAACAACAGACAGTTGTGATGATTGTAGAAGTGAAGCTTTTTTTGGTTAAAAGACCCGAAATTTTATTGCAAAAGCTAACTAGAAGTTCATTTGCAGTTAAATTTTGTCGAATGGAGTTTTAGTGAATAAAATGGATCAAAATTGTGATGATATATTGAAAATTATTGTAAGAAACCGAGAATATAATGTTTCTAAAAAGTTCATTTGTTCAATTGTGCCTTACTTTGACAAAGTGTTTAGTTGTGATTTGTTTGAACCCAAGTCAAACAAAGTGGAACTAGATTTTGACGAACACGTCTTTGATTCTATTCTTAACTGGATTCACACAGGATTGTTCATCATTCAGATGGAAAAAGTTATCAGTTTTTATGAAGCATCTGCTTATTTAATGATCAATGATCGTTTGTTTGAGCCTTGTTTCAATTATTTCCACTTTAATTTCAACATTAAACATATTCCAGTTGTTTTACAACAAGTCACCAAAGTGTCCAAGTTGATTGATTCAGGGTCGATTGAAAACTTCATCTGTCGCCACTTCTTGAAGATCACACATACAGATATCTTTTTAAATTATCCAGTTGAGGCAGTTGAAGCTATTTTAAAATTGGATTTGATGATTCACTCTGAATATCAAATATTTGAATCAATCATGAAATGGGCCGAAGAGGATGATTCCAGGGAAAAATGGATTCCACAGCTATTGAACTGTGTTCGTTGGTCTTTTATGGATCCTCGTGATATGCCCAAAGCAATGAATGATGAATATATCAAGACGTTTACTAATTTAGATTCAATCATCTGTTCTAATGTTAAATCTTATTCAGATCGCACTAAACAAAGCTTCTTTATTTCTGTTCATCGAATGGACAATTCAAATCTAAAAGTAAATGTGCTCGATAAAGACTTATTTTGTTTACCGATTGGTGATTTCACTCAAGACGATTCAATGGCACCTGAATTTGTTCCTGGAGAACACATTTCAGATATTTTATTTGATTCTGGAAGAGAAGGAATTCGAATTGATTGGTCCAAAAAGACATTTCGGTGGCTCAACTTCAAAGTTGCTGGTAAAACCTATTACAGTCAATTGATTGAAGTTTTTGTAAACTTCTCAGATGATTTTAGGTATGTTTAGTCTATGTATCATGCATAATCTACCAAAATCAATTTTTAATTTTGTGAATTTCTAATTCGCTAATAAGTTCCAATGTCTTTGTTAATTTGTTAAATCTATTACAACAAGAGCACTCTATTGCTGTAAAAGATCGAAGTCTCTTAAACTTAGAAGATAAAGATATTTGAAAATGACAAATGTTATGCGAATGTGAGTCCAGAGGTCCAATAATTGAGGGAATTTGTATGATCTTGAATCTAGAATCAATAAAATTCCCATGTCATTAGGATGCAAGTCATAAATAACTTATCATAGAGACAAATCTGTTTCATTAGCACTAAAACCCTTTACTGACATGCCTGTCACTCTCTAAGAATTACCTTAATGTTTCATGTTTGTCATTACTTTCAATCTCTCATTTCATGAGTTTCTTAATGTTATAAAAATTCAGCACGGTTTGCAGATCGAAAAAATTGAAATGCAATTTGTTTCCTCCTTGGCTGAAAAGCTTTGGAAAATGAATGGCGGCTTCTGAATTTACACAGTTTACTGTAGTTTGAATTTTCAAGTAAATGCCTTTCTATTTCATTCTCTATTTATTCATCAGAGCCTTTTCCTATTATTTGGAAGACAAAGATGCGAAACTACCGGATATGATCTCCTGCGACGAGTTCGTGTTCCTCGAATCCAATGGCAAATATATTTTGATTGGTAAAACTAAAGACGAAAAGAAATGGTTTGGTTCTTTTTATGGTTTCCATCGGAATTGGTTCAAAGTGTACAAAGATCATGAACGATCCTTTCATGCCACTGTTTTGGACAATGTTGTTTACATCTTGACAGAGGATCTCGAATTTATCCAATTCAATTACGAAACTCAGTGCTTCAACAAGAGTAAACCGTTCGAAGACAAAAAATTAGATTTCGATGATTTAATCTTTATTTCTCGTCAAACAGGAGATGACAAAGTAATTCTGGTTAATAAATCGTCCGGGGAAATTCATGTTTTCTATATTAATGAAGAGGAATGGATTGAGAAATATCGAATTATGAATGTTAATGTGGGTTTCGAAGGCGCTAGTGTATATGCTGATGGATTGATTGCCTTTACTTCAACGTTTTTATCCATGAAAAATATCAATCCTTTGTTCACGCAGAATATATCTTTCAACTAAATATTGATAATTCAGTTCAACAATAATTAAAGATTCATAAAAGTGAATGTCGCCATTTTTCGTGAATTTATGTAAAGTTGCTTAAATGTCGATGCAAAGAAATCAAGTTACAGTTACAAGAGAAAAAATAAAGGCCATTTTGATGATCGATGATGTTGGATCCATCTCTATTTCAAACAATACACTCCATTGTGTATTTAAAACAGTACCTCTAACAAGCTAACATTATTTGCATCTCGACGGAAATACCGATATTATAGTAGCAATTATGGGTTATTTAAGCTTGATTTTCATGTGGTCTCATACTTTTGTCACTTAAAAAATCCTTACAACATAGGTACGAGCAAACGAAAACCAAACTTTGAAATATTTCCCTTGTAAGATGTTCCATTTCTATCAAAGTTGTCAAATCTAACAAAGAATAACGGTAGAAACATAGCTAAAATTCAGATCGGCTATTAAAAAAACATGGTCGAAATCTCATTAAAATTGAAAATATTTGAAAGAACCGCTTAAACTTTTAAGGTCTAGACATTGTAAAATAATCCACTAGTTTCACGGATATCTTTTTTTGATAGACGCCATCTACTATACGTAAGATGCTTAATAATACCATTGGTAATATAGTAGACGGCGCTTATCAAAAATTAACTTAAGCGGGAAACTAGTGTATAAGCCCGCCCCTTATGAAAAACAAGTGTATGATCATAAGATGGGTGGGATCATGCAGTTGTCTGTTTTAGAATTTATCATTTTCTTGACGCCAGCTATCCTCAAATAAGACGCTGCTTATAAAATTAACTCGTAAACCATCCCTTTAGAATTCGTCATTTTTTTAAGTTTTTCTGTGTTTTATGTGTTGACGCAACTATAATGAATAAAGAAGATCAAAACTGCGATGATAAATTGAAGATTGTGAATAGAAATCGAGAATATTATGTTTCTAAAAAGTTCATTTGTTCAATTGTGCCTTACTTTGAGAAAATGTTTTGCTGTGATCTGTTGGAATCAAAGGAAAACAAAGTGGAATTAGATTTCGACGAACATGTCTTCGATTCTATCCTCAGTTGGATTCACACAGGATTATTCATGATTCAAGTGGAATATATAATCAGTTTTTATGAAGCAGCTGATTACTTGATGATCAATGATCGTCTTTACGAACCCTGTTTGTCATATTTCCATGAAAACTTTACCTTGGAATATCTTCCAGCTGTTTTATCGCAAGTTACCAAAGTTTCTAAATTACTTAGTTCAGGAACAATTGAAAACTTCATTTGTCGCCACTTCTTGAAAATCGCTAACACGAATGTTTTCTTGGATTACCCAGTTGAGACAATTGAAGCTATTCTAAAATTAGATTTGGTTGTTGACTCTGAATATCGAATTTTCGAATCAATCATGAAATGGATAAATAAGAAAGCAGATTTTAGAAAACGATTACTTCCACAGCTATTGAAATGTATTCGTTGGTCTTTCATGGATCCTAAAGATTTACTTAAATTAAAGAATAACGAATTAATCAAGTCTTTGAATAATATCGACTCAATTGCCTCGTCTTGTGTTAAATCTGATATTAATCGTAGTAAACAAAACTTCTTCATTTCTATTCATCAAATAGATAATTCAAGGTTAAGAATAATTATTTTTGATCATGAATTATTCTGTATTCCGATTGGTGATTTTACACAAAATGATAAAATGTCATCAGACTTTATTCATGGAGAACATGTTACAGATATTCTATATGACTCTGGTACAAAAGGTATTCGAGTTGACTGGGCCAAAAAGACATTTCGATGGCACAACTTCAAAGTGGCTGGTAAAACCTATTATACTCAGATTGCTGAGTTGATCTCGAAGTTTGCTAATAAATCTAGGTATGTCAAATATTTTCATAACCTCTATTCTGTTAAGATTGACTTACATTGCTAGTGAATTGAAGCGTTTACAATGATTCGCTTGAACTTCAAATTCAATCGAAATAATTTACTAAAAATTTATTAGTTTGCGTTATCCAGATCAAAAGTATCTAATATTAGATAATTATATATAAACTATATATATATGTACTAATAAATATTCAGCGCGCTTCATTTTTAATATTCAATGAATCAATCTCGATAATTTATATTTTGAATGAAACCAGTAGTTTCCATTCAATAAGCTAATTGCTTTTCTGGAATTTAATTCTACCCTCATTCTTTAGACGTTTTATCTGTTATTTGGAAGATATAAATGCAAAATCGACAACATCGATTTCCAGGGATGAGTATGTGTTTCTTGAAGCTAATGCTATCAATGATTTCATACTGATTGGTAAAACTAAAGACGAAAAGAAATGGTTTGGTTCTTTTTATGGTTACCATCGAGATTGGCTCAAAGTGTATAAAGACCATGAACGATCCTTTCATGCCACTGTTTTGGAAAATGTTGTTTACATCTTGACAAAGGATCTCGAATTTATCCAATTTAATTATGAAACTAAATGCTTTAGTAAGAGTGAACCATTCAAAGGCGAAAAATGGGATTTCAATGATTTAATCTTGACTTCTCATCAAACAGGAGATCATAAAGTGATTTTGGTTATTAAATCATCTGGCAAAATTTATGTTTTCTGCACCAAGCAGAAAAAATGGCTTTTAAATCAAAAATATCAAATCATGAGCGTATATGCCACTTCCAAAGATCCTCGAGCTAATTTGAATAAGTTAATTGCTTTCACCTCAACATTCTTACCCATTCAAAATATCAATCCTTTGTATACACAATCCCAAAGCGTCGAACCAAGCGCCGAACCAAGCGCCGAACCAAGCGCCAAAAGAGCCGAACCAATAGAGAGAAGAACCTCAAATAGAGCAAAAAAACCCAAAAAATATTACATTGCTTAGATTTGCCCGAAATGAAAAAACTTATTTAAATATTGTCTCATATTGTACATACATTGTATCTCTAATGATTCCAACTTAAAGTTTAATACATATCCATAGTTGAATCTTGTCTTTTATTTCTATCACTTACGGTATAAATAAGAGTATAAATAAGAGTATAACCAGTGCAAGTGCAGTATAAGCACGAGCAAAAGAAAATCAAACAAATGTGGAATACTTTCCAATAAGATGTTACGTTTTATCAAAAGTTGTCAAATCTAACGAAGAATTGCGATAACGAAAGCTACCATTCAGATTGGCTACTACGAAAAAATCAGCAAAACTAAAGCAATCTTATAAAATATCGAAAATATTGGAAAAAAGCTAACATTTGTATAGTGCAGCCATTGCCATTATAAGCCAACCCTTATGAAAAACAATTGTAAGATGGGTATAAATACAGTTGTCTATCTTATGCTTGGTCATTCTCGGAACACCAACTCTTCGTATCCTTAGATAAGACGCTATTTTTTCAACAAAAGTTTGTGCTTTCATCTAATAAATTATTCAGAGTTCTCTAGCCTATTTAGTTTTAATGTTATAAATATTCTCGTCCACAAAACGCTTAAAAATTTATTGGATTTTCTAAGTTTTTGTGTTTTTTCATCTGAACGGAACTAAAATGAAAAAAGAAGATGAAAATTGTGATGATAAATTGAAAATTGTGAATAGAAACCGTCAATATACTGTTTCTAAAAAGTTCATCTGCTCGTCTGTGCCTTACTTTGGCAAAATGTGTTTCAGTGATTTGTTGAAATCAAAAGTAAACAAAGTGGAACTCGATTTTGATGAACATATTTTCGATTCTATCCTTAGTTGGATTCACACAGGATTATTCATCATGCAAATGGATCATGTGATCCGTTTTTATGAAGCAGCTGATTACTTGATGATCAATGGCCGTCTCTACGAACCCTGTTTGTCATATTTCCATACAAACTTCACCATTGAATATATTCCACCTGTTTTATCGCAAGTTACAAAAGGCTGTAAGTTGATTGATTCAGGATCAATTGAAAACTTCATCTGTCGCCACTTCTTGAAGATCGCGTCTACAGACATTTTTTTGAATTACCCAGTTGAGACAATTGAAGCTATTCTAAAATTAGATTTAGTTGTTAACTCTGAATATCAAATTTTTGAATCAATCAAGAAATGGATTAATAAAAACTCAGATTTTAAGGAAGGATTATTTCCACAGCTATTGAAATGTATTCGTTGGTCTTTCATGTTTCCTGTCGATTTACATAAATTGAAGGATAACGAAATAATCAAGTCTTCGAATAACATTGACTCAACTATCCCGTCTAGTAAATCTGATATTGATCGCAGTAAACAAAACTTCTCCGTCTCTATACATCGAATAGATGATTCAAGATTAAGAATAAATGTTTTCGATAAAGAATTATTCTGTTTGCCTATTGGTGATTTTACACTAAACAATGGGATGTCACTTGCATTGATTCATGGAGAACACGCTTCAGATATTTTATTTGATTCTGGAAGAAAAGGTATTCGAGTTGATTGGATGAAAAAGACGTTTCGATGGCACGACTTCAAAGTTACTGGTAAAACTTATTATAGTCAGATTAACGAGTCGATTCTCAAGTTCCCAACTGATTCCAGGTATGTCAAATGTTATGATAATTTCTATTCTGTTTAGATCGATTCGTTCGATTCGATTTGATTTGTTTGTAATATTAAACTTTAATGAGATCGAAACACTTCACTGAAAATTGATGAATTTTCAAAATTCAATTCAATTTTTAGTATTCATCAAGCCAATAAGTATCCAATGATCTTAATTTTTCATATTAAGTGAATCAATCTCTTTCAATGTAACAATTAGTTTTCATTCAATTGTTTTTCTTCAATTTTATTTTATCCTTCTTCAGCAGATCTTTCATCTGTTATTTGGAAAACTCAAATATTAAAATGCCTACCAAATCGGTGCTATGGGATGAGTTCGTGTTTCTTGAAGCTAATGCCATCAATGATTTCATACTGATTGGCAAAAATAAAGACGAACCTAAATGGTTTGGTTCTTTTTATGGTTACCATCGAGATTGGCTCAAAATTTATAAAGACCATCAACGATCCTTTCATGCCACTGTTTTGGACAATGTTGTTTATATATTGACAAAGAATCTAGAATTTATCCAATTTAATTATGAAACTAAATGCTTCACTAAAAGTGAACCATTCAAAGGCGAAAAATGGAATTTCAATGATTTAATCTTGACTTCTCATCAAACAAACGACGATAAAGTATATCTGGTTAATAAATTGTCCGGAAAAATTTCATTTTTCTGCATCAATCAGAAGAAATGGATTAAGAAGCTTCAGATCATGAATACCTATTCTGTTAACGCCGGTCGATTGATTGCTTTCACTTCAACATTTCTATCCTTAAAAAAAATCAAACCTCTGTATAATCAGAACTTAACTTAGTAATGAGTGTGTCATTTTGTCGAGCAATATTCAACCGTCGAAAAATCAGGCAAGGTTTTTAGATGATTTAAATCTAATTAGATAATTATGTTCATTCATTCATCTAATAGAAATCAACATCAATTCACCAACTCTATCATTCCAATGCATCTACAAGTACCACAACTCACGTATCTCATGTGTTTTGACACTTCCAACATGATATCAAAATAAAAATATTGTTTGCTTAATATTTCAGATTCATTTAAATTCGATGGATCAGGAAGTTTCTCTAACAATCTAATTTCAGATAATCAATTAATGTGCGAGAATTAATTATACATGTAATACTCAGATTACACTCAGTGAACTGTTTAAGGATGAAAATCTGGATTTCGAACATTTACGCTTCACACCAAGCAGACAACAGCAAAGTTATGTTGATCAATGAGGAGAAATGGGTTAAGGAATATCGATTCATGAATTTAAATGTCGGTTTCGAAGGATCCTGTGTAAATGGTGATGGAATATTTTCCTTTGCTTTAAGATTTTTATCCATGAAAATCATCAGAACTTTGGTATTGATATACACAGAACTCATCTTTCAACTAAACATTTATGAATGAGTTCAACTCTAATTAACAGTTGTCATGTGTGAATATTAGCATTTTGGTATATTTAAGTGCAGTAAGTTTGCAAACCCTCAGTATGACCAAAAGAGTAAAGGAGAGCTCTTTGGTATAAACCATATTATTTACACTGAATTGAACAAAAATTGAAAAATCAATTTTTCCTCACACCTCACAAATGACTGTGACTAGGATTTGTAGCCTCGTATTTCAAATACTCGATCATTCATCTTATTAGCTTCACTCGCTACTTGATACAGTCAAATACTTTTTGATTTTTCCCATTTGTATTAAAGGGTGTTACGGATAAAAGATTACTTATGGAAATCAGCGGAAAGGCAGAGGCAAAGAACGAAAAGTTTGCTTCTTTTGATAAGAAGATTGGCTCATTTTTTATGGGGAATAGAGGAGATGGTGAACATGGAGAAGAAGATGACGGGAGATGATGATGATAATGAAGGAGTAAAAATGAGGAAAGCTAGTTAAGGAAGGAAAGAAAGAGCTA